TTTAGGTCCCCACAAGGATAGTAAAACATATGTTGTGTGTGTGTAAGTGCACATTCACGGTTAAACAGAGTTAAGTGGTGCATCCATGTGAGTAAATTTACTTTTAAAGAGTGACAAGGAAAGATTGCTTTTCCTCACAGGGGCATATGTAAAAAGAGGGGGACGATGGCGAGGGAGAAGGAGGAGAGAAGAAGAGGGGAGGAAAATATATCTTCAGATGGTTGAGAGGGTTGCTTGGAGGGGAAACTAGAGAATGGATCAAGAGAGGTGCTACTGAAGCATGATAACCCCTCTCTATTATACTATGGAGAGGCTCTGGATGCGTCCCGAATCGCACCCTATTTCCTATGAAGTGCACTACTTTTGACCAGGGCTCTGATCGAAAGTAGTGCACTGAATAGGGAATGGGGTGCCCTTTGTGATACCACCTCTCTGTTTACGTGCCCAGACATACGAGCTTTGTAAAGGCCTCATTCTAAAAATGAAAGCAGTTTTCTAGCAGAGAAAGAGAGACTGTAAAGGTTGGGTTTTATAGATAGAGCAGTGCAGTGACGGCTAATGGAACATTAGTAGTAATTAGTAGGTCATGTTTTGATGTATTGTGACCGTTGTTTCTACTTACTGATGCTGTTTTTTGTTTTTGTTTTCTACCTTATGCGCATTGAGCACGGGAAATGTGCTCTACAAATTATATATTATTATTAACATATCTCTTGATGGAGCAGGGCTGGGATACAGACTGACTAGTAATACAAATAAAATAAAAATCATAATTAATAGCTGGCCGCCCAGCCAAACTGAGCAATCGGGGGAGAAGGGACTTGGTCAGGGAGGTGACCAAGAACCCGATGGTCACTCTGACAGAGCTCCAGTTCCATTGTGGAGATGGGAGAACCTTCCAGAAGGACAACGATCTCTGCAGCACTCCACCAATCAGGCCTTTATGGTAGAGTGGCCAGACGGAAGCCACTCCTCAGTAAAAGGCACGAAAGAGTCCAATGGCGGCGAGCTTTACACCACACCAGCTGACGCTTGGCATTGCGCATGGTGATCTTAGGCTTGTGTGCGCCTACCCGGCCATGGAAACCTATTTCATGAAGCTCCCGACGAACAGTTATTGTGCTGACATTGCTTCCAGAGGGAGTTTGGAACTCGGTAGTGAGTGTTGCAACCGAGGACAGACAATTTTAGGCGGAAGCCACTCCTCAGTAAAAGGCATGACAGCCCACTTGGAGTTTGCCAAAAGGCACCTAAAGGACTCTCAGACCATGAGGAACAAGATTCTCTGGTCTGAGAAACCAAGATTGAACTCTTTGGCCTGAATGCCAAGCGTCACATCAACCTGGCACCCTCCCTACATTGAAGCATGGTGGTGGCAGCATCATGCTGTTGGGATGTTTTTAGCGGCAGACTAGTCAGGAACGAGGGAAAGATGAACGGAGCAAAGTACAGAGAGATCCTTGATGAAAACCTTCTCCAGAGCTCTCAGGACCTCAGACTGGGGCGAAGGTTCAACTTCCAACAGGACAACAACCCTAAGCACACAGCCAAGAAAACGCAGGAGTAGCTTCCGGACAAGTCTGTCAATGTCCTTGAGTGGACTAACCAGAGCCCGGACTTGAACCCGATCGAACATCTCTGGAGAGACCTGAAAATAGCTGTGCAGCGACGCTCCTCATCCAACCTGACAGAGCTTGAGAGGATCTGCAGAGACGAATGGGAGAAACCCCCCAAATACAGGTGTGCCAAGCTTGTAGCGTCGTACCCAAGAAGACTCGAGGCTGTAATCGCTGCCAAAGGTCATTCAACAAAGTACTGAGTCAAGGGTCTGAATACTTATGTAAATGTGATATATCCGGTTTTTATTTGTAATAAATTAGCAAAGATTTATAAAAAAACGGTTTTTGCTTTGTCATTAAGGGTTGTGTGTGTAGATTGATGAGGGGGGAAAAATCATTTAATCCATTTTAGAATAAGGCTGTAACGTAACAAAATGTGGAAAAAGTCAAGGGGTCTGAATACTTTCCGAATGCACTGTAGTTGATTTGATTAAAACACAGAATGTGTCTATATATGGAGAAAAATGTTTTAAAATTTCGACCAATCTATTTATTTATTTTTTGTCTGGGACAGCTTAAGTCCGATCATGCAGCCCATATATACTGAGTGTACAAAACATTAGGAACACCTGTTGAATATTGAGTTGCACCCCCTTTTTCCCTCAGAACAGCCTCAATTCGTCGGGGAATGAACTACAAGGTGTTGAAAGCATTACACAGGGATGCTGGCCCATGTTGACTCCAATGCTTCCCACAGTTGCGTCAAGTTGGCTGGATGTCCTTGTTGGTGTTGGACCATTCTTGAAACACACAGGAAAATGTTGTGTGAAAAACCCAGCAGCATTGCAGTTCTTGACACACTCAAACCGGTGCGCCTGGCACCTACTACCATCACCCTCTGAATGGCACACATACACAATTCATGTCTCAATTGTCTCAAGGCTTAAAAATCCTTCTTTAACCTGTCCCCTCCCCCCTCATCTACACTGATTGAAGTGGATTTAACAGGTGACATCAATAAGGGATCATAGCTTTCACCTTGATTCACCTGGTCAGTCTATGTCATGGAAAGAGTTTTGTACACTCAGTGTATGTTTTGATTTCTAAGACATTCTAAAGTTTGTATCATTCACAACTAATGTTACCAAATAACTCAAAATATATTGTATAGGATCTGTTTCAAATTATCGCTTTTACGCTCAACATAGCCACTTCATATGCGCACTTGCTCTGAATGGGAAAAATATCCTTTCTATTTTATTCAGCAAAGTTCAATTATATTCTTCTTACTATACAATCATATAATAAGGTTTACATATCATGCACTACTCATCTGCATGACAATAACCGGCTGACAAAATTTCACCACCACCACAGCCCTACACACACACACACACACACACACAAACAGGCACACACAGTGTGATGCTGGTATTGAGTGGTACGCTCCAAGCCTGGGAAGGTACTCTAGGCAACCCACTGAGTGAGTGGCTTTAAAAACTAGGGCGGGAGAGAGACTTAATGAGAGAAAGAAAAGAAAAACAGAATCCTGAGTTGCACAGACAAGGAGGCTGGGACCTCCAAGGGAGTGAGGAATAGGAAGGTGAAAGAGGGAATCAAAAAGATAGAGAGAGAAAGCGAGAGAGAGAGAATCAAAAACAGAGAAAGAGAAAGCAAGAGAGGGCAAGAAAGTGAGTGTGAGAGAGCGGGAGCGCAAAGGAGGGAAAGAGAGCGAGAGAGAAGGAGCAAGAGTGGGAGAAGCAGAAAAGTCTGCCTGTGCAGTAATGAGCGTTGTCACAGCAAGGGAGGCTCAGCAAATATTCAGTTCAGAGTAGAGGTCCGACTTCTGTCCGACTCCCACCCGCTACCGCAAGAACTGGTCCCGAACCCAACCGCAGTCCCGCAATTTAGGCGTATATAACGCAGCTCACTTGCCAGCTATGGTCCCAGCAATTTTGTGCCGTGTAGGCAATTTCAAAAAGCGCAAAAATAACTTAAGAAATAGGTTAAATTACCAGAGATTCTCACATGGCCCTTATATGGTATTACTGAGCTATATCAGCCAATATGCTAGATGTAGTTTGAAGAGAGCAGAGTTGGAGAGACTTTAACTTTCTCTTGAGATACATTTTATTTATTCAGACAGAGACAAATATGGGCGATCAATAGGCTATTTATTTCTAGGCAATGTACTGTAGTAAACTATAGCATAATCATATTTAGGAAGTACATTTCCATTGGAAAGATAACTGCCCCGTGCATAAGCTTTTTAATTAAGACCACACACGGATGCACCTGATCTTGCACGTATGGCTACTGAACGCAGCAAGAATGAGGAGATCGACACTTGTACTTTATTTTGAGCTACGTTTTGCATACAGTATATAGCCTACCTTTTAGGAGGACGATTTGCAGGCAGAGACAAATAAATGGGTAATCAATATTTATTGAAAATGAAAAGGTGCAACCGCTAGCTCACCATGGTAACCTATGCGCCTTTTCCTTTTCAATGACGATCAATTATTTTTTATTGCACCTCGACTCAAGTTGGTTGAGCGCCCTCCACTTCTTTCCATTATCAATATTTATTTACAGACACTGTAGTAAACTACAGTCTAATCATATTTAATTAAATTCCCTTGGAAAGATAACTGCCACGTGATTCTCCACCCATGCATAGGCAGACTACTCTATTTAATTGAGACACACATATAGGTACTAGGCACACTTGATCTCGCACGCCCAACTAGGAGAGGAGAGTTAGGCTACTTAACTTGAAGCAGCGAATTCTGAGTGTGTGAATATTGCCACAAAGATGTGTTTTGAAAACAATATGTAGGCTAACGCATACAAAGCAGAAAGATGACAGTTTCCAAATAATCTGTTGGACAACAATAATATTTTAATCCCAAAGTTGTCGGTCTGACCGCCCATTCCCAACCGCAGCATGAACAATGCTGACCACGCCGCAATGATCTCTGTCGGGACCTGCAGCTCTGTAGTTCAGAGCCCCTTTTTCTCATTCCACAATGAAAACCTCCTTCTAACCCACACATTATAATGGCCATTTCTCCTAGACAGTGGCAGCAATATACAGTAAGTATAGGATATCTACAACAAGACAAGATCATCTTTCAGAAAACAAGCCTGTTCCTGCTGGGATGTTTTCTTGTTAATGGGAACTTGTTGAGGGGAAATGTTTTATCATGTGGATCACTACAGTCATGTCATATTCAAGTCATATTTGCAGACTTGTATCCTCCAATAAAAACAGGGGGAAAAACTGCCATTCTATGGTCAAAAACATAACCCAGCCAGGCTTCAGTCAATACATCCCTAGCAAGAAAGATGAACAAATATTAAGGGATGAAAGGTTAAAATAACAGAGGAGAAATGGATGAGGAGGAGATCGATCCTTCTCTGATGGCGGAGCGGGTATTAGTCACCCAGCGAGACCCTGGAGAGAGATTGAAGGAGAGAGAAAGACATGCTCTCACCTTGCAGACACAGCCTAAAGATGACGGGCACTGCGCCGGACGCCTATACCGGATAGCCCCTACCAAGGTCGCCCAGTGAGGTCACCACCGTTACTTTGACGAAGCGTTGCCCTCCAATAGCGTTCTGTCGATACCCTTATCGTCTACCGTTATTACCTTGCCGCCTTGCAACTCGTTTAGCCGGGAGTGGCTGTAAGTCTTTGGGCCGGCCCAAATGGCACCCTATTCCCCATAGGGCTCTGGTCAAACTAGTGCACTATATAGGGATTAGGTTGCCATTTGGAAGGAACCCCTTGAGTGTGTGATACTATAGGGCCTATGCAGTAGTGCTGGTTTTCCCATTCGCTTTGACGTGAAATGGCCGCGAAAGTGATGGAGATGTGTCGGCAAATAGAGGCTCTTTATGCGACTCGTGTTGGGAGAGCCATAAACGTTAGGAAATAGAATTGGATGCCGAGTGAGGCCTTTGGGAATAGTGAGTCTCGACGGGCGGTCGTATTACAAGAGGAGGAATTAGAAAATGATGGGAAGAGAGAGGGCGGGAGGCAGGCACAGAGAGAGCGAAAAGAGAGCGAGAGCGGTGTTCGAAGAGCGTTACTGCTACCTAGCGACGAGTGATGGGATGGTTGGGCCTGGACAATTTCATTGCTTGTAGGACACAGACACACTCATATTCACAGAAAAATACACACACATACACACCTATATTTTATAGAGCTACAGGTAACTGCCAAAATAAAGGAAACGCCAACATAAAGTGTCTTAATAGGGCGTTGGGCCACCATGAGCCAGAACACTTCAATGCACCTTGGCCTACAATTCTATTGGAGGGATGCGACACAATTCTTCCACTAGAAATTCCATCATTCTGTGTTTTGTTGATGGTGGTGGAAAATGCTGTCTCAGGCGCCGCTCCAGAATCTCCCATAAGTGTTCACAGACTCATACAATGACACACACACACACACACACAGTACCAAATTCCAGTCAATATGTTGCTCATATTGAAGACGCTTTATACTACAGAAGCCACCTGGCTCCTTACAACATTTTTGTAAGTCTAGAGTGTCCTCCAGTGGCCACCTGTTTAAGTACGCAAATGCATGTATGACCAGTCTCCTTAACTCACAAACAGGGACTCACATTAAGTGAAAAAAAAACACAAATCTAGCCACTGACCATGACTTGGGCTCTCCAAAGTGTAGGTAGTTGATGCTGTAGAGGTCCATGTCCTCTGTGTGCCAGGCGAAGGTGGTCTTCCACATGCCAAAGTACAGGTAGGGCGTGTTCACCCCCTCGATCACGATGCCACACTCCTGCTCCACCATGTCCAGCAGCGTGTTCAGGTGGCTGATGTTCCACTCACTGATCTCCTGGAAACACAGCCACACAAAGGGAGGTTAAAGGGATAGTTCACCCAAATTTTAAAAAATGACAATTTCTTGTAAGTAGTCTATGGACAAGGTATGAAAGCAATCCATGCTTTTATTTTGTTTACCTGGCCACTGTTCCAAGTGCTAACTTTTTAGCATTTGTGGCACAAATTTTGTGCAAGTCAATGGTTCCGATATTAGCCTCTCGCTTCATGTCCAAATATTTCATTTTATCATTTTTGGTGAACTATCCATTTAATACTGTGACCCGATTCAAGCATGTTGGCTACCAATTAAATGTGACAGTGGATTTAGGGCTGTCCCCGACAAAAAAAAACTTGGTCGACCGAAAGTCGTCTGTTCTTTCGACCAATCGATTGCTCTAAATGTTTAAACGTGTGTTTTTCCATACATGTGACTCGTTTCAGGAACCTAGGCGTATGTCACGTGTCACTACTTCACAGGAGAGCCATTTGAACGTAAACTTTTTTTATTTTATCAAAATGTGTTTTTTTTTTGGCAGAAATGCCTTCTGGAACATGTGAACTTCCATGTGCTTTAATAACAAACGTGTATGTCATCTGTAAATACGAAATAAATGGTTAAATTACGAATAGTAATGGTTTAGCCACAGAAAAAGACAGCAACCTTCCCGCTAGCCATGATTGGCTAAGATAATGAGTGGGCTGGACATGCCGAGAGATGAATTCGGATTGGTCTGCCATGTAGCGCACTTCTGTCTATTTGAGCTAGTCAGTATGTGTAGGTAATCCTGTCTAACGTGGCTTTAAAAAATATATATCACGTAGTAGAACTGCATAAGTGTTGCTCTCCACATTCTGGAGGACCGAGTTTTGAAACCAGTGGAATTACAGTATGATAGCTAAGGAGATGGAGAAAACACCTGTCTCCGGATTATATCTTCAAACTAAGTAAGGGAAACCATGGCATCCGTGACAGGGAGAAGCGTCCATTCCATGTCTACGGGTAAGATAGTCTAGCTAGCTACATTTTCAGATGTTACACGTTTCTAATTTTGACAGAAAGTTGTTTTCATTTAAAGTGTACTGTTAGCTAGCTAGCTAACATTAGTATAGCATAAGTTGTGCACTCTACACACAATGTGTCCACTTCGACAATGAAAACAGGAAGACTGGAATAATATTGAATGCTTTAAAAGAAATGACCGTAACCAAAGTAACAAACATTATAAATTATAGGAATTAACGGTAAATGTACTACTGGTGACATATGTAATGGGGAATTGATATACACTAACAATCAAACGCAAACAATTCACACAATTAAGTTATGAAACAATGAATATGCACAAATTGGCGGGAGAGAGACATTCTGGAGAGAGAAGTGCATTGTGCATCTGGGCGCATGGTCAATCCGACGTCAGAATTGGCCATGCAGCATTTATGATGATAAGGCCTCAGCAGAAGTCAGGGCATTCATACTTCTTGCGCTTTGCGGATCAGTGAAGAGCTGTTGTCAAGGAAGTGAGCTTGTGTTTAACCGCCCCCACCTACCATCAACCAATCATGTCAATGCGGAGCTATACAGAGCCCTCCGCATTGTTACAAAATTTGGGAGCCGCATGGCGATGTGGTACAGAGCTCAATTTGAACTCTGCATGCCTCTGGAGGCTCCGCAAATACGTCACACCCTCCATATGGAGCCTCAGACCACATTTTCGAATCAAGCATTAATTGGCTTTTAGTCTAGGCCTCCGGCAATGGATTAGTTCACAGAGATGGGCGCAAATATATATATTTGTTACTGCTCGACTAAAACAACCTTGGTCGATCAACAGCCTAACGACCAAATAATCAACTAATTGGGGTCAGCCCTAAGTGGATTACAGTCTAAACCTTTTTTTTTTAAGGTAAGAAAACAATTATATAAATATGTATTTAACAATCCAATGCCTACATACATGGAGTTACCATGTTGTTACATTTGTACTTCAGTTAGTCTTTAGTGAGATCCTATTGGCATGTTCTAGCATTAATTTGCATATTTCCGTCAGGGAACGCCGACTATGTAAACTGCGCGTGTGCAATAACTCAATTCGCCCTTGCACTCCTTCCAAACAACGCAATTTCTTACAACTTTGGCAAAGGGTAAAGTCTGCAAAACGCAGTCCACTCTGTTACAGATTCTAGTTTTGGAAACGGAAAACTGTATGAAAATTAGCAGAATGTTGGCCAAAATCGATCTCGCTCCTTCTTCTCCCACTGCCGGCCACTAGGCTTCCTCTCATCACCATATTTGGTAGTGAGTGGAAACGCCAACCGGATGCTTCACATTTATATATCTGGCTCATTGTTCTGTATTGCAGTTCTCAAGGTCATGTAATAACACATGTTAACCACCAGATGGCATTAAGGCCAAACAACAAAGGATGCACGCAAAAACCCTGAGCAGCTCACAGATTGAAAGCTAGACTCAAGTTAAGAGACATCCTTTATCGATTGAAAAACTAAATAAATGTTGGGGAAAAAACTAAATAAATAAAATACACAGATCTAACGAGAACAGAAACCAGTGGTTCATCTTTATCGCAGAAATACACTCAGTTCAAATACTTCCATTCAGTGGAATAGTCAGAATGGATGGAATGGATCTCCTAGGCCATTGGCACACAATGCTAAATTCTGGTACTCGTGGCCTTAGTAAGGAATTCAACACAATTTAGTAACCTTGTCCCTAGTGGAACTTGCTTGAACGTATCCCAAAATAAGTTTATTAAGTAACTTTGATGTAATAACTACAGTTGAAGTCGGAAGTTTACATACACCTTAGCCAAATACATTTAAACTCAGTTTTTCAAAATTCCTGACAATTAATCCTAGTAAAAAGTCCCTGTCTTAGGTCAGTTAGGATCACCACTTTATTTTAAGAATGTGAAATGTCAGAATAATAGTAGAGGGAATGATTTATTTCAGCTTTTATTTCTTTCATCACATTCCCAGAGGGTCAGAAGTTTACATACACTCAATTTGTATTTGGTAGCATTGACTTTAAATTGTTTAACTTGGGCCAAACGGTTCGGGTAGCCTTCCACAAGCTTCCCACAATAAGTTGGGTGAATTTTGGCCCATTCCTCCTGACAGAGATGGTGTAACTGAGTCAGGTTTGTAGGACTCCTTGCTCGCACACGCTTTTTCAGTTCTGCCCACACATTTTCTATAGGATTGAGGTCAGGGCTTTGTGATGGCCACTCCAAAACCTTGACTTTGTTGTCCTTAAGCCATTTTGCCACAACTTTGGAAGTATGCTTGAGGTCATTGTCCATTTGGAAGACCCATGTGTGACCAAGCTTTAACTTCCTGACTGATGTCTTGAGATGTTGCTTCAATACATCCACATAATTTTTCTTCCTCATGATGCCATCTATTTTGTGAAGTGCACCAGTCCCTTCTGCAGCAAAGCACCCCCACAGCATGATGCTGCCACCCCCATGCTTCACGGCTGGGATGGTGTTCTTCGGCTTGCAAGCCGTCCCCTTTTTCCTCCAAACATAACGATGGTCATTATGGCCAAACAGTTCTATTTTTGTTTCATCAGTCCAGAGGACATTTCTCCAAAAAGTACGATCTTTGTCCCCATGTGCAGTTGCAAACCGTAGTCTGGCTTTTTTATGGCGCTTTTGGAGTAGTGGCTTCTTCCTTGCTGAGCGGCCTTTCAGGTTATGTCGATATAGGACTATTTTTACTGTGGATATAGATACTTTTGTACCTGTTTCCTCCAGCATCTTCACAGGGTCCTTTGCTGTTGTTCTGGGATTGATATGCACTTTTCGCATCAATGTACGTTCATCTCTAGGAGACAGAACGCGGCTCCTTCCCTGAGCGGTATGACGGTGCGTGGTCCCATGGTGTTTATACTTGCGTACTATTGTTTGTACAGATGAACGTGGTACCTTCAGGCGTTTGGAAATTGCTCCCAAGGATGAACCAGACTTGTGGAGGTCTACAATTTTTTTCTGAGGTCTTGGCTCATTTCTTTTGATTTTCCCATGATGTCAAGCAAAGAGGCACGGAGTTTGAAGGTAGGCCTTGAAATACATCCACAGGTACACCTCCAATTGACTCAAATGATTATCCTATCAGAAGCTTCTAAAGCCATGACATCATTTTCTGGAATTTTCCAAGCTATTTAAAAGGCACAGTCAACTTAGTGTATGTAAACTTCTGACCCACTGGAATTGTGATACAGTGAATTATAAGTGAAATAATCTGTCTGTAAACAATTGTTGGAAAAATTACTTGTGTCATGCACAAAGTAGATGTCCTAACCAACTTGCCAAAACTATAGTTTGTTAACAAGAAATGTGTGGAGTGGTTGAAAAACGAGTTTTAATGACTCCAACCTAAGTGTATGTAAACTTCCGACTTCAACTGTATATAATTTCAACTTTTCAAAACCAGGGAGGTACTTCTGAACTTGTCCCACACAAAATGCACATTTACTTTTTCTGCTGCAGAACGTTTTGCTACGATGTGCCCTTATGTACACAACCCATGTATGTGATTAGCACGGTTAGGCTGTCCCTGAGCTTACTTACTGGGTCGTAGATGGAGCCGCTGACATCAGCGCCGTAGATGGGCGAAACAAAGGTGAGGTTCTTCCAGTATTTCCTCTCCAGGTCGTCAAAGTCCTTGTGTCGGGGAGTACAGTACCTGAGAGAGGAGGACAGGGTCGTGTTTAGTAGGCACACAACGGAAGAAGACGCTTTGAAACGGAGACACTTGAAACCCCACCTCTTTAAGGAATACCTGGGATAGGATAAAGTAATTATTCTACCCCCCCTTACCCCACCCCAAAGAAAAAAAAGAAAAAACATATTGTAAAGTGGTTATCCCACTGGCTATAAGGTGAATGCACCAATTTGTAAGTCGCTCTGGATAAGAGCGTCTGCTAAATGACGTAAATGTAAATGGGAAACAGAGATACCATCTCAACTTCGTCCAACAAAAAACACTGAAATACTTTTTTCTATGGTGTGCCCTAATGAACAAGACCCAGTAAGAGTTGGGAGATTTATGAGTGCCTTTCATACTATGACCAGTCAAGACATTGGATGTAGACACTGAAGGTAAAGACAGTAAAACCTGTAGAGTGAAGACTGATTTTCTTGCAAAGCAATCCAATAATGTCTAATGACAATAATAATAACAATATCTAAATAATTAATCAAAGGTTTACAATTAGGGCTGGGAATTGCCATGGACCTCACAATACGATATTATCACAAAACATAGGTGCCGATACGATATGTATTGTGATTTGATACTGCGATTTTATTGAGATTTGATGTTCCAAACACATTGCTCACTATACGTCTGCAGCAGAGACAAGAGAGAGCATGAGAAAATGAGTTTTGATCAGTCATGGAAATAAAAGTGCTGAAAACACCATTTAAAAAGAAAATGGAGAACAAGCTATAGGATGAAAAATACCAGAGTTTTGGAGCAGGTACAGCTGACTAGCGCTAGCTAACGCGACCTAGAAAAAAACACATATACATGTACACTACCAGTCAAACGTTTTAGAACACCTACTCATTCAAGGGTTTTTCTTAATTTTTACTATTTTCTACATTGTAGAATAATAGTGAAGACATCAAAACTATGAAATAACACATTTGGAATCATGTAGTGACCAAAAAAGTGTTAAAACAAATAAAAATATATTATATATTTGAGATTCTTCAAATAGCCACCCTTTGCCTTGATGACAGCTTTGCTGTATCTCTTCTAGGGCTGGGCGATATGGCCAAAATATCATATCAGAATATTTTTCACATTTTTGACAGTATTTTACTGTTTTTGAATAATACAAGTTCTATGTATATGTTTTAAGAGTAGTTCATGACCACAGTTCCCTCAAAGCTGTGCACAGCTCCCCTCGGCCCTGCCACACAGAATAAATATCAGCCCGCGCAGAAAAGCAAGAGATTGAACTTCACTCAACTTTCTATAGTTTTCCCCATTAGTTAGAACTATTAATGTTTCGCTCTACTGTGAGAATTGTGATCGAAACAACGCAATATTAGCCACTTTCAATGTAACATACCAAAACAAAACGAACTATGCAAGACTTATTAGTATGCAAAACTAGCTGTGCAAGAGATTTTCTTGTAGGCAAAGCGCATTGGAGTAGGATTCTATTGCATTGACAGGCACGACTCAGGCCCGTCTGGACTGTTTAGGCTACAGTATGAGTGGTCGTGAGTGTGTCACGAGTAGATACGCTTGTTTTGAGATCAAAGGTAGAGCTGCATGTAGCCACGTGTGCACATTTGTTCATATTCTTTGCTAGTTAGTGAGTTATTAGCCCAGTTATAGCTAATTTCTAGTCAACAATGCCCGGGGAGTGGTTGCTTCCTACAAGAGCTCAAAATGTATGCATTTCTAGCCATCTTTGAAAAGCAAGTCAGGTAAAGAGCTGTCTTAAAGGGGCAGTGTTGTATTTTGAGACGGACTTGAACAATAGGCAGAGCGTAGCATAATTTCTCTGATTCTCTGTAATAATGGTATGGGAATAATAATGACATTTATTTTGCAAAGACAACATTTTCAGGCACCTTGTCTGAAGTGGATAAACTGGTTAATGTCAAGCCCTGCATGTCTTTTTTCAAAAGTCTCATGGAATATAGGCCTACGTTGAACACCACACATAGGCTGCCACTGTAGACTGAATGATAGAACAGCTATTTCTATGTTAAAAATGTTATGGGATGCATTTTTGTCCATTGTTTGATGGTAGGCCACTGTGGTAGACCTACATTATGATCAAATAGACACAGTAGCCTACTCGGCCACTGTTAAAACTGTAACTTAAAGCGGGTACAGCCTCAATGTTCACAGCGCCGGAAGTTGCACAGACTTTTCACAACATACAAGTTGTGAAAGTCGTGGTCCTCTGTAGCTCAGCTGGTAGAGCACAGCGCTTGTAACGCCAACGTAGTGGGTTCGATACCCGGAATCACCCATACAAAAAAAGATGTATGCACGCATGACTGTAAGTCGCTTTGGATAAAAGCGTCTGCTAAATGGCATACTATTAAGTTTGCGCTCAGCAGACCTGAAATTTGCCCCGTGCCAATTTTTTTTAAATGACTCTAGGGTGGCAACACATGAATTAATGATTTCAAAGTGGGCTTTCTCCATTCTGATTGCTTAATACTGTTCAATCCAACTTCAATCAACATTTGTTTTAAGCATTTTCATCAATTTCTGCATTTCCTGCACTTTTGTTATCATTTCCACACTGTGGCACGTAGGGCTGCATGATATGGGCAAACAATCTAGGCCTTGTTTATTGGGGTACTGTTCGAATCATGGAAATATAATGATTCTTGTAATTCAATAGTTGGTATATAGTGGGCAACACTTTGAATACATTGTTGTTTGACATGACAACAAATAAATAGGAATTATTGTGACAGGTTAGGAACCAAAGTGTTGGTCAGCGTTTCCCAGGGGACCCTATACGATGTTACATTTAACTTAATCATGTAGATAGCTAGCATTGATAGCTAGCTAACTAACATATTCATGCTTCACCTATTCCTCTCTGATTTAGAAGATACTGTTGCACAAACAACATGTTGATCTAGACCTACACCAGCACTGGTATCAGGCTGTATTATCTAGCTAGGTTTGCTCTAACTGATTACATTTAGCTAGCTAGCTATTCAGCTAACTAGCGATTAGCATTACCATCTAACATTTATTTTTTGCCACAACTTGCTAAAAAAATACAAACTAGCTGTTTGCAGACAGTAAGATACAAACTAATAGTGTTATTATAAAACGCTTTGAAAGCAGCATCATTGTCAACAACCTCTTATTGTGTCTGACCATGCAGACTGCAGAGTGAATGACAAGTGAAGTGCTTGTGACTCCGTGGTCGAGCAACACCAACAACTGCTTTCCTTGAGAGGCAGTGCTTGTTGTGGGAAGCAGCATGCAGGAAGAGGGAGAGAGACAACTTGAAAGAAGCAAACGGAGTAAACTACAAAAACAGACATTACACGCGCCGGAGTTACGTATCACATTTAACACTATTGCTATTTTAACTGCCTTGATTCTAAATGTATGTTGTTTCTATTGTATATATAAAAAGAAATCATCAGTAGAGTTTTGAGAACTGTAATAAAAAGCGCAATACAAATTAAATGTATTATTATTATTATTAATGTAGGCCGTCATTGTAAATAAGAATTTGTTCTTAACTGACTTGCCTAGTTAAATAAAGGTAAAATTAACAAACCTAACACTGAAATACTGTTATAGAAGGTAAAGTAAAAACCCAAACCGATCAGTGCATCAATATCGGTATATAGTAAAAGACAGTATACCACCCAGCCCTTATCTCTTCTGCATTATTTTGACTGTGTCTCATTGGGTGTAGAATGGCTGGTAGCTAGGTGAGGCCCTACGTTCTGCTGTTGGCCAGTTGACGGTACTCCCCGACGGTCATGGACTTCTTCTGGATGTTGTACTGGGTGAAGAGGCCCGACTGGCCCGTCACCACCTGCATGATGGGAGCCGGGATCACCATCTCCTCGATGGTGTCATACGACTGCCGCGGCTTCCAGCCGTTTGGAGGAATCACCTTCAAGAAGGGAGGGAGGGACGGTGAGAAAGTGAGTGAGGATGTGAGAGGAGATGAGAGTGAAAGTGACAGAGCAAAAGAGGGGACAGAGCAAGAGAGGGGAGGAGGTAGAGGTAGAGAGAGAGAGAGAGAGAGAGAGAGAGAGAGAGGGAGAGAAACATGTGGCCAAAGTAGGTGGCGCTACAGTAACAATACAGTAACATTGAATGGCTGAATTCAAACTAAACTGTCAGAATCTAGAGCACCCAGGAGATTTTCAATGTGAACTGTTGTATTGTTATACTGCAAAATATACACAATAGGACGACTTTTTCAGAGTAGGTCAGTTCTAGTAGGTCAGAAAACCATTTATATGAAAAGTGTGTACATGTATGTACCTTTGCCAGGCCTGCACGGTGTGCTCCTTGAGTCTCCATGTAGGCAATGTATTTGGCAAAGTCCTTGAATTCCTCCATGGTGGGCCGGAAGGTCATGATCTTACACCCCGGGTTCATGACTGGGACTGGAGGAGCAGTGGCAGGGGCTGGATCTGATGCTAGCTCTGGGGCTTGAGCTGAATCTGGGGTTAGTTCAGTGGCTAGCTCTGGGGCTAGTTCTGAGGCTAAGTCTGGAGCTGGATCTGGGGCCAGGTCTGGTGCTGGGGCGAGGTCTCGTGCTTCCAGCAACATGGTGGCAGTTGGATCTGGGGGCACTGCCAATGACATGGAGGCAGGTAGAACTGAAAATAGAAAGAGAAAAGAATGACAAACTAGAATCTAGAACAACAAAGCAATAAGACACAGCCAGACCTGTGACCATATGTATCAATTGTCTCAGAGTAGGAGGGCTGATATAGGATCAGGTCCCACCTGTCCATGTAAACGTATTCATTTTTATCTAAAAGGCTAAACGGATCTTAAATCAGCACTCCAACTCTGAGACGCTTGATACATACGGCCCCTGAACAACAGAGAGGTTTAGCCTAATGAATGACTACAATGACTACGAGGTTAGAATTTGATTCTAAACACTTCTACATTAATGTGGATGCTACCATGATTACGGATAATCCTTAATAGAACAGCGCCGGAAGAAGATGGCTGCCGTTTTACAGCCCTCTAACCAATTGTACTATTATGTGTGTTTTTCCGCGTTATTTGTAATTTATTTTGTACATAATGTTTATGCCATTGTCTCTTATAACCAAAGAGAGCTTCTGGATATCAGGACAGCGATTACTCACCTCGCGTTGGACGAACACTTTTTCTTCAACGAGGCGTTCGCGAAGGATATTCTACAGACTCCGGACAAGGCCCAGATCCCCGTCATTCGCGTGAGGAAGAGACGGAGATATCGTGGACGTAGGTCGGGGTGCCTTGTAAGGATCCGACGGCGAACGAGTAAACTGCCTCTCCCATCAATCCTATTAGCCAACGTTCAAGCTTTGGAGAATAAAATGGACGATTTAAGATTACGGTTATCCTACCAACGGGACATTAAAAACTGTAATATCTTATGTTTCACGGAGTCGTGGCTGAATGACAACAATGACAACATTCAGCTAGCAGGCTATACGCTACATCGGCAGGACAGAACGGCAGACTCGGGTAAGACGAGGGGTGGCGGTCTCTGTATTTTTGTAAACAACAGCTGGTGCACAAAATCAAATACTAAGGAAGTCTCAAGGTTTTGCTCGCCTGAGGTAGAGTATCTTATGATAAGCTGTAGACCACACTATTTACCAAGAGAGTTTTCATCTATACTTTTCATAGCTGTCTATTTACCACCACAAACCAATGCTGGCATTAAGATTGCACTGAATGAGTTGTACAAGGCCATTAATCAACAGGAAAACGCTCATCCAGATGCAGCGCTCCTAGTAGCAGGGGACTTTAATGCAGGGAAACTTAAATCCGTTCTACCTCATTTCTACCAGCATGTTAAATGTGCAACCAGAGGGGAAAAAACTCTAGACCACCTTTACTCCACACACAGAGACGCATACAAAGCTCTCCCTCGCCCTCCATTTGGCAAATCTGACCATAACTCTATCCTCCTGATTCCTGCTTATAAGCAAAAACTGAAGCAGGAAGCACCAGTGATTCGGCTAATAAAAAAGTGGTCAGATGACGCAGATGCTAAGCTACAGGACTGTTTTGCTAGCACAGACTGGAACATGTTCCGGGATTCTTCAGACAGCATTGAGGAGTACACCACATCAGTCACTGGCTTCATCAATAAGTGCATCGATGATGTCGTCCCCACAGTGACCGTACGTACATACCCCAACCAGAAGCCATGGATTACAGGAAACATCCGCACTGAGCTAAAGGGTAGAGCTGCCGCTTTCAAGGAACGGGACTCTAACCCGGACGCTTATAAGAAATCCCGCTATGACCTCCGACGAACCATCAAACAGGCAAAGAGTCAATACAGGTCTAAGATTGAATCATACTACACTGGCTCTGACGCTCGTCGGATGTGGCAGGGCTTGAAAACTATTACAGACTACAAAGGGAAGCACAGCCGCGAGCTGCCCAGTGACACAAGCCTACCAGACGAGCTAAACCACTTCTATGCTCGCTTCGAGGCAAGCAACACTGAAGCATGCATGAGAGCACCAGCTGTTCCGGACGACTATGTGATCACGCTCTCCGTAGCCGATGTGAGTAAGACTTTTAAGCAGGTCAACATTCACAAGGCCGCAGGGCCAGACGGATTACCAGGACGTGTACTCCGAGCATGTGCTGACCAACTGGCAAGTGTCTTCACTGACATTTTCAACATGTCCCTGACTGAGTCTGTAATACCAACATGTTTCAAGCAGACCACCATAGTCCCCGTGCCCAAGAACTCTAAGATAACCTGCCTAAATGACTACCGACCCGTGGCACTGACGTCTGTAGCCATGAAGTGCTTTGAAAGACTGGTCATGGCTCACATCAACAGCATAATCCCAGAAACCCTAGACCCACTCCAATTTGCATACCGCCCCAACAGATCCACAGATGATGCAATCTCTATCGCACTCCACACTGCCCTTTCCCACCTGGACAAGAGGAACACCTACGTGAGAATGCTATTCATTGACTACAGCTCAGCATTCAACACCATAGTGCCCTCAAAGCTCATCACTAAGCTAAGGATCCTGGGACTAAACACCTCCCTCTGCAACTGGATCCTGGACTTCCTGACGGGCCGCCCCCAGGTGGTAAGGGTAGGTAACAACACATCTGCCACACTGATCCTCAACACGGGGGCCCCTCAGGGGTGCGTGCTCAGTCCCCTCCTGTACTCTCTGTTCACCCATGACTGCATGGCCAGGCACGACTCCAACACCATCATTAAGTTTGCCGACGACACAACAGTGGTAGGCCTGATCACCGACAACGATGAGACAGCCTATAGGGAGGAGGTCAGAGATCTGGCCGTGTGGTGCCAGGACAACAACCTCTCCCTCAACGTGACCAAGACAAAGGAGATGATTGTGGACTACAGGAAAAAAAAGAGGACTGAGCACGCCCCCATTCTCATCGACGGGGCTGTAGTGGAACAGGTTGAGAGCTTCAAGTTCCTTGGTGTCCACATCACCAACGAACTATCATGGTCCAAACACACCAAGACAGTCGTGAAGAGGGCACGACAAAGCCTATTCCCCCTCAGGAGACTAAAAAGATTTGGCATGGGTCCTCAGATCCTAAAAAAATTCTACAGCTGCACCATCGAGAGCATCCTGACTGGTTGCATCACCGCCTGGTATGGCAACTGCTTGGCCTCTGACCGCAAGGCACTACAGAGGGTAGTGCGTACGGCCCAGTACATCACTGGGGCAAAGCTCCCTGCCATCCAGGACCTCTATACCAGGCGGTGTCAGAGGAAGGCCCTCAAAATTGTCAAAGACTCCAGTCACCCTAGTCATAGACTGTTCTCTCTGCTACCGCACGGCAAGCGGTACCGGAGTGCCAAGTCTAGGTCCAAAAGACTTCTCAACAGCTTCTACCCCCAAGCCATAAGACTCCTGAACAGCTAATCATGGCTACCCGGACTATTTGCACTGCCCCCCCACCCCATCCTTTTTACGCTGCTGCTACTCTGTTAAGTATTTATGCATAGTCACTTTAACTCTACCCACATGTACATATTACCTCAACTACCTCAACTAGCCGGTGCCCCCGCACACTGACTATGCAACGGTACCCCCCTGTATATATAGCCTCCCTACTGTCACTTTATTCTATTGTATATATAGCCTCCCTACTGTCACTTTATTTTTTACTTCTGCTCTTTTTTTCTCAACACTTTTTTGTTGTTGTTTTATTCTTACTTTTTTGTTTAAAATAAATGCACTGTTGGTTAAGGGCTGTAAGTAAGCATTTCACTGTAATGTCTGCACCTGTTGTATTCGGCGCATGTGACCAATAAAATTTGATTTGATTTGATTTGATTTAATGAATCATGAATAGTGGGTTCGATCCCCGGGACCACCCATACGTAAAAATTTATGCACGCATGACTGTAAGTCGCTTTGGATAAAAGCATCTGCTAAATGGCATATTATTATTATTATTATTATTATGAGTGAGAAAGTTACAGATGCAAAAAATATCATACCCCCAAGACATGCTTGAACCTCTCACCATTCCAATAACAGGGAAGGTTAGCATTTTTTGGGGGGTATGATATTATTGCCTTTCACTTTCTCACTCATCATTATTCACGATTCATTCAAGATTATCCGTAATAATGGTAGCACTCACATTAATGTAGTGTTTAGAAACATATTCTATTCTTATTTCCAATTAAAGTGACTCCAAAATGTCACAATACATTATTTACCATACATTTCTATTGGGCACAAAATAATCTGAAACACAACCAAAACAAACAGCAAATGAATCCCAAAAATGTGCAGTCACAAGCTTGATGTAGTCATTGCGTGCTATGAATATGGGACCAAATAAGTGCTGTAATTTCTAAACGGTTCACCCGATATGGATGAAAATGCCCTCAAATGAAAGCTGACAGTCTGCACTTTAACCTCATAGTCATTTCAAATCTAAAGTGCTGGAGTACAGAGCAAAAACAACCAAAAATGTGTCACTGTCCAAATACTTTTGGAGCTCACCTTATAGGCTACCCATTAATGTTCGTAAACAATGAATTTGTAAACAAGCAATGTATAGCCAAAATATGTTTATAAATGATTATTTTGGTCTCATCTACTGTCAATCCTTGCTTGGATAACTCCAACTCCAACTACACTGAACAAAAACATAAACGCAACATGTAAAAGTGTTGGTCCCATGTTTTATGACTGTTAGTCGCTTTGGATAAAAGCGTCTGCTAAATGGCATATTATTATTATTATTATTATGAGCTGAAATAAAAGATCCCAGAAATGTTTCATACCTACAACAAGCTTACTTCTCTCAAATGTTCCACAGCCAAAGCCATAAACCCCACTACTTTCTAAAATGTTTCTTCTTAAAATCTGATTTTAAACCTAACCCTTAACCCACTGCTAACCTTATGACTTACCGTAACCTTAAAGCGCATTTTTGTTTTCATACATTTTTACGATAGACAATTTTGACTTTGTGGCTGTGGTAACTAGTGACAACCGCAAAGTAGCCTAAACGGAAATTAGACGGCCACAATTATTCCAAAACGCAGCTCGTTGTTGGAACACATATTTCCCGACTTGAGTCAACCAGTCCATTTAGAATTTGTGATAAAACT